CATGTGGTGCTGGGGGATTGAACCGCGGTCCCTGTGCTTTGCTAAGCTTGTTCTAAGTAGGTGCTTTAGACCACTGAGCCATCTCACCAGCCTCCAAAATTTTCTTTTCTTTCTTTCTTTCTTTCTTTCTTTCTTTCTTTCTTTCTTTCTTTCTTTCTTTCTTTCTTTCTTTCTTTCTTTCTTTTTGTACCTGGGGATTGAACTCAGGCCCTTGTACTTGCCAGGCAAGCACTTATTCTACTGAGCCACCTCCCCAGCCCCTAGACTAAAAAATTTTAGTCTAAGGAGTTTAGGTCTCTGTGTTTAGCAACTTAACCTTATATAGCACATTAACCCTTAATAGTTGTCACTTATCAAAGTAGCTGGAAACTGTCAGATGGTGTCAGTGATTTGATGTTCTTATAGCTAGCTTATTGTATTATGATTATTATTATTATTGTATAAGGATTTGAGCTCAGATCATTCCACTTACCAGGCAGGCACTTATGCCACTGATCTATATCCCTGGCCCTCATAGATAGCTTATTATTATGACATTTAAAAATATATATTGTGGTTACAGTTTTTGCTAGATATATAAGACCAGTTAAAGTGGTCTTAAAGTTAAAGTGAGACTGGTATTAATTAGAATTAATCTCTTGTTATCTATTAAGATCAGTTAAGTCTCCAGGATTTATTTTGGAACCATGTCAGTGTCAGCCATCTGGATGAGTTATGGCTATTGCTTGACCAAATTGATTTCTGTGAAAGCTTGGGAAGCTGTTTTTTTGTGTGATTCTTTTTAGAAACACTTGTGTTTTTAATCTCCCAGGGCTCTACAATCTCTTTGGTCAGGAGGTTGTGTAATTCACCATGTTGCAGAAAAGTACTTATTTCTTTATTTTAGGGAAGGATCTACAGGATGTTCGGGTCTCACTACTAGATCAGACTTGTAGTGAGCCGCCTGTTTACAGCCTCCCAAGAGCTGGGATTACAGGCGCATGCCACCATACCCAGTCTCAATCACCATCTCAGCATGCCCTGGGAGCGGGGCCAGCACAGCAGGCCTGGGGATTGAACTCCTAGCCCCTGTGCCTGCTTGTAGGCATTTTAATCCACTGAACTATTTGGCTGGCCTCAAGGGTTTTGCTTTGTTTTGTTTTTAATGTCTTGGGTCTTTGTTGACCTTGGAGGGCTGGGATCCAAATACTGGCAGTTTGGTCTCTAAACCTCAGTTGTTGAACATCTAGAAGAGATGGTTAATGGTACAACTTTGTAATGGGAGCAATGAGTTTAATCATTAAAAGTTTTATCTGAATATCCAACACCTTGAAATATAAAGTATAGCCAGAGAACTATTATGTTTTCATAGTTTAACTATTCTTTTTAATAGTCTAGCCATGGATGTTTGCATAGTTGAAACTCTGAAGAATGTTAACAGACAACAGTTGCACAATTTTACAGAGAAAAATTGAGATTAAAAGTCATATATAGTATTGTAGAATAATAGTCATGATGGCATTTTTGTAATACATTTAAATCTCTATTTTGGTAATAGAATAGCATTTGTAGTCAAACATCTTTGTCTAGTATATAAGAAGCTCTCACCTAATTTGTTGTCTTTTAATAGGATGTAATTGATGTTCATGACATTGTCTGGACTGCTTAATGTTTAAACATCTCTAAGGGTAGTGGCACATACATAACATATACATCACATAAGTTTTTATTACAAATATTATTATTGGACTGGTGACTTTATGTTGGCTTGACATGAACCTCTTATCACAAATACCTGGAACACAAGAGAAGGTAGATGTGTGCATCTGAAAGAAAAAAATCTATCACCATAAGCAATCTCATTTGGCTATATATTTGGAAAATTTCTACATCTAGAAGGCATGAATATATTTGATACACCTTGAGATCAGCAATAATTAGTTGTCATAACCACATGAAAAAGCTTTGTTTTTAAATTTAGTTTAGGTTTTTCTTTTCTTTTCTTTTTTTTTGTGTGTGTCTGGCTCAGACCACCCTGTGGGAAGGGCTGCCATGGCATGTGGTGTCGGGGATTGAACCACAGTTCCTGCACACTTGCCTAAGCAGGTGCTGAGCTATCTCACCAGCCCTTAAATTTAGTTTTTTATCAGAGTATCTTTAAATTAGAAAACCTTATTGTCTTATTT